TCATGCACCAAGTAGAAATCAACTCCTATAGGTAGTGGTAGTGTTAATGGATTTGTCTCTGTCTCCAATGGGATGTCGACCAATGGAGGAGTTGATTAAATTCCCCGTGGTGGTGGGTGCTGGAGAAAATAGGCGAAAGAGTGTGGTTAGTGGGGTGTTGTGGTTGCACCGCTGGTTGTTGNTTTGTCTCTGTCTCCAATGGGATGTCGACCAATGGAGGAGTTGATTAAATTCCCCGCGGTGGTGGGTGCTGGAGAAAATAGGCGAAAGAGTGTGGTTAGTGGGGTGTTGTGGGTTGCACCGCTGGTTGTTGGNAAATTCCCCGTGGTGGTGGGTGCTGGAGAAAATAGGCGAAAGAGTGTGGTTAGTGGGGTGTTGTGGTTGCACCGCTGGTTGTTGGGGCTCTAATTCATCTTGAGAATGAGTTAGATCACCGATTGTTAGGGCTTTGATGCGTCGTAAGAGTGATAGAGCGCTTTCAGCGAAGGAAGGGTCTTAGGACTTGGGTGAGGGTAAAATGCGGCGTTCAATTTATGGGGTTTTAGTGTAATTTTTGAAACGTGAGGGGATCTATAATATAAAACAGGGCGGCTTCAATAAGCTCATCCTACGGTTTCAAATTCATTCATCCAACGGTCATGAAATTATTATTTTTCCTTTAATATTCCCCTCCCCAACCAGTCAACGATTACGACTAATTTTGGACATATTCTATAATCTCAAATTCATTCATTCAAAGGTCAATAAATTACTATTTTTTCTTTAATATTTTTTCACCAATCGGTCAACGATTATGACNCCAACGGTCATGAAATTATTATTTTTCCTTTAATATTCCCCTCCCCAACCAGTCAAACGATTACGACTAATTTTGGACATATTCTACAATCTCAAATTCATTCATTCAAAGGTCAATAAATTACTATTTTTTCTTTAATATTTTTTCACCAATCGGTCAACGATTATGACTGATCTTATAACACAGGACTTTCATTAACATTATAATTAAATGAGTTAAATTTGCCATTAATATCATGTGTAGTGTAACAATTTGAATTTTTATAAGACATAATAATAACATTTTGATTAAAAAAATTCATCAATTTAACAAATAAAAAAAAGCAAGGGCGCTACTTAAAACATTTATATTGAATATAATTAAATTTTATTTTATTTATTTAATTAATTATCTCAAACTAACATGTCTTATATATATATTGAATCAAAAGTTCAAGACTAATTTTTTTTATCTCTTAAGAAAATTCAAAGCTAATATATTCTTATAAATTAATAATTTTGTAATAACGTGTACTAATTAAAAAAATAATATTTTATAAATGATATTTGTAGAACTTTTTTTGATAGAACATATTTTGGTGATATGCTTTTTGATAAATTAGATTTTTTAATTTATATTAGATTTGACTCAATTTTGATAATATGTATATAAATTAATGTTCAATTTTGATTAAATGTATATAAATTAATGTTTTTTTAAGTCAATTCTATTATATTTTATGGATTTATCTATAATATAAAATAGGAAAGATTTTAATAAGTTCATCCGATGGTCTCAAATAAACTTATCCAACGACCACCAACATCTCTCTGAACACCATTCAGATTGAATTTTACCTTCCTTTTCTCACTCTTCACTCTCTCTCTATCTCTCTGGCAATGACGGATAGAAGAGGGGTCTAGGAGCACCTTGATATATATATTTTTAGTTATATATGTTTTTTATATATATTTTTGGATATTCATAAATTGGGTTCGCTGTAATGATTTATGAAAAAGAAAATTAATTTGATCAAACAAGTTGGGTACTAGAACAAAAAAAAAAGTCCATACAAAATTTGTTAAAATTAGCAAACATTGATTGATTCCTTAGAGTATTTGTATGATTTGTTGGAGCTTCATTTTATTCAAAAATTATGAAATACATAGCCAAAAATAAGTAAAATATAGAATTTGTAAAAAAATTAAATATTATAGAATATTACTTTTATTTGTGTCAAATCTATAATATTAAATAGGGCAAACTTTAATATGTTCATTCGAATATTTCAAATAAACTCATCTAACGGTCTTTAACATCCCTCTCAAAATTATTCGCATTGAATTTCTATCCTCCCAAATCTATTACTTTTCACTTACGTTGCACCGTGCCTCCAGACACGGATTACCCCTAGTATTCATATAATAAAACCAAATGTCAAAGTGTAATTTACCCTTTGAAGCAGGGGTATTTATGAGATTTAACGACGTTATGCCGTGTATTCATATTTGCAAATTGGGAGAATTATGGCTTACGGGGTATTGCAAATTGTCCAAACATCCAGGTTTCTTGGGTTCTCGTGTTCTTGAGTTTAGGGCTTTTGTTGCTCCTCTCTTCTATAGTTCCTCAAAATTACGCAACCACAGTCACGTCTGTCTGTATATCAATGCAACCGCCAAATTCTCTCCCAATTGGACTAGGATCCATCTAATATTCTCTTCCAATAGACGTCTCTCTTAGTGTGAAAATAAATTGGGGGGGTTTTGGGCATTAATTATGATTATCTTGTCTCTTCTCTTTGGATTCTCATCATCACTGGTTATCAAGCTCCGAAACATTCGTGTCTTTGGCCCTGGTTTGAATCCTTTTGCACCCTACAACATCGCCAATCACTCTTCCGGCTAATCTTTGCATACCCCTTTTGTGTTCCTCTTTCAATCATGTGAAACAGCTCTGAATTTGAAGTCTTTTGGTCTTATCTGTGAAACTTTTTTCTTGGTTTTTGTGGAATAACACAGGTAAAATCTTCCTTGCTGAGAAAATTCTTTGGTGGTTTTTTTTGGCATTAATGTAAGAGAACCCTGAATTTGAAGTGTTTTTAAGTCTTACCGGCAAGTGTATGTAGTGGGTTTCTGTTGGAATTTCTAGGTAAGATCAATTTTGCAGTGAACTGTAGTGGGTTCCTCAGATTCCTCTTAATCATGTAAATCAGCACGCGGCTTGCTGTGAAATTCTTGAGTTTTGTGGGCTGATTAGTTTTACCTCTAAATAATGTGAAAAGAGGCTCCAAGGCACATTTTTTTTCTGGGTTCTCGTTGTACCTCGGAGATAAGATCAACCTTTCTGTTAAAATTTAGGGTTTTAGTGGCAGTATTTCTGTTGAAGCTTTTGATTATTGGTGTTGATGTAAAAGGAAGTAAAATGCCTCTAGACCAGTTAGGTTCGAATAGACGAAGCATATGTAGGTCTAGGTCTGCAGCTGATAGGGATGACAGAGGTTGGACCCCGCTTCACATTGGTGCCCGAAAAGGCGATATCAAGGAGGTAAATATTCTACGTTTCTTGCATTTCATAAAAACTTTGTCATTGGCGGCAAATCACTTTGTGTTCTATTGGTTTTTAACATTTAAAATCTTTAATTATCTTTATAAAGCATTTTATTTTTTACTTGGTCTGATATGTGCACATTANCGGATAGAAGAGGGGTCTAGGAGCACCTTGATATATATATTTTTAGTTATATATGTTTTTTATATATATTTTTGGATATTCATAAATTGGGTTCGCTGTAATGATTTATGAAAAAGAAAATTAATTTGATCAAACAAGTTGGGTACTAGAACAAAAAAAAAAGTCCATACAAAATTTGTTAAAATTAGCAAACATTGATTGATTCCTTAGAGTATTTGTATGATTTGTTGGAGCTTCATTTTATTCAAAAATTATGAAATACATAGCCAAAAATAAGTAAAATATAGAATTTGTAAAAAAATTAAATATTATAGAATATTACTTTTATTTGTGTCAAATCTATAATATTAAATAGGGCAAACTTTAATATGTTCATTCGAATATTTCAAATAAACTCATCTAACGGTCTTTAACATCCCTCTCAAAATTATTCGCATTGAATTTCTATCCTCCCAAATCTATTACTTTTCACTTACGTTGCACCGTGCCTCCAGACACGGATTACCCCTAGTATTCATATAATAAAACCAAATGTCAAAGTGTAATTTACCCTTTGAATAAAGACCATAATTCAGGGGTATTTATGAGATTTAACGACGTTATGCCGTGTATTCATATTTGCAAATTGGGAGAATTATGGTTTACGGGGTATTGCAAATTGTCCAAACATCCAGGTTTCTTGGGTTCTCGTGTTCTTGAGTTTAGGGCTTTTGTTGCTCCTCTCTTCTATAGTTCCTCAAAATTACGCAACCACAGTCACGTCTGTCTGTATATCAATGCAACCGCCAAATTCTCTCCCAATTGGACTAGGATCCATCTAATATTCTCTTCCAATAGACGTCTCTCTTAGTGTGAAAATAAATTGGGGGGGTTTTGGGCATTAATTATGATTATCTTGTCTCTTCTCTTTGGATTCTCATCATCACTGGTTATCAAGCTCCGAAACATTCGTGTCTTTGGCCCTGGTTTGAATCCTTTTGCACCCTACAACATCGCCAATCACTCTTCCGGCTAATCTTTGCATACCCCTTTTGTGTTCCTCTTTCAATCATGTGAAACAGCTCTGAATTTGAAGTCTTTTGGTCTTATCTGTGAAACTTTTTTCTTGGTTTTTGTGGAATAACACAGGTAAAATCTTCCTTGCTGAGAAAATTCTTTGGTGGTTTTTTTTGGCATTAATGTAAGAGAACCCTGAATTTGAAGTGTTTTTAAGTCTTACCGGCAAGTGTATGTAGTGGGTTTCTGTTGGAATTTCTAGGTAAGATCAATTTTGCAGTGAACTGTAGTGGGTTCCTCAGATTCCTCTTAATCATGTAAATCAGCACGCGGCTTGCTGTGAAATTCTTGAGTTTTGTGGGCTGATTAGTTTTACCTCTAAATAATGTGAAAAGAGGCTCCAAGGCACATTTTTTTTCTGGGTTCTCGTTGTACCTCGGAGATAAGATCAACCTTTCTGTTAAAATTTAGGGTTTTAGTGGCAGTATTTCTGTTGAAGCTTTTGATTATTGGTGTTGATGTAAAAGGAAGTAAAATGCCTCTAGACCAGTTAGGTTCGAATAGACGAAGCATATGTAGGTCTAGGTCTGCAGCTGATAGGGATGACAGAGGTTGGACCCCGCTTCACATTGGTGCCCGAAAAGGCGATATCAAGGAGGTAAATATTCTACGTTTCTTGCATTTCATAAAAACTTTGTCATTGGCGGCAAATCACTTTGTGTTCTATTGGTTTTTAACATTTAAAATCTTTAATTATCTTTATAAAGCATTTTATTTTTTACTTGGTCTGATATGTGCACATTATTTGTCTTCAAAATCTGGAAGTGCTTAATCAGGGAAAATCATGATAAGGCTGACTAATAAAGATATTATTTGAAGCATTTTATTATCCGTTGCTTTCATATTATATGTCATATTGTTTGTTATGATCTCAGTTTTGGATATAGGTAATGTGATTTTGTGGTTTAGCAAGCTGAGTTTGAATGCTATAATGGATCTATGAATGTCTCAAAAATATTGGTTTTCCACTATAATTGGATTGGAAACATAACTAATGTAAGGAAAACTTGGTTAATCCATTTTAAAGACTATTAGAAAGCTTACAAGAAATTCAGAACTAAGCCAGGGAATGAAGCAAAGAAATCCATACCTAGTGATAATTTCTAGTGGTGGGATTTCCCTTTTACTTGCCTTTGGTTTTTAATTATATCTCAATTGTATTTTTGTATCTTACCAAATTTAGTCTAAGAAGTACTTGCCTAGAAAATTCTTCCTAGTTGAACATATATGTGGTTATTTTTCTTTTGATTGATCAAAAAAATGGTGATGTTATTTGTGAGGGGTGAAACTGTGTTACTTTTTTGTTTATGTTTACCACCAAAAGTGTTCCGTTTACCACCAAAAGTGGACAGATCTAACTAACGTCTAGTATGGCAATAAAGGATAACGTATGTTTATAATTTTTGTAGACCAGAGAGATGATAAAAAATATGCCTAACCTTCTTTTGGGTAGGAAGTTAAAACATTGATTGAAGACAAGAAAAGAAAGAAAAGAGAAGAGAAGAGAAGAGAAGAGAAAGAAGTTAAACATATTGTAAAGGCTAATCCAATCTGGAAATACAAATTAACCTAGAATAAACAATATAGGCCCTTGTATAGTTAGACAACAAAATAAAGTAAATTTCTAAACTACCCATAATACAAATACTCTAACACCCTCCTCAAACTCATGATGTAATAGCTTCAAACATCAAAAATTTGTTAAGAAAGAAACGGAAGCGCACGATGGTGTGAGATTTTGTAAAAAATTTGCCTACTGTATAGTAGGAGGGAGGGAGGGAGGACATATCGTGCCCAACTGAAGATGGTGGTGCACAAAGTGACAATCGATCTCAATACGNAACGGAAGCGCACGATGGTGTGAGATTTTGTAAAAAATTTGCCTACTGTATAGTAGAAGGGAGGGAGGGAGGACATATCGTGCCCAACTGAAGATGGTGGTGCACAAAGTGACAATCGATCTCAATATGTTTTGTGCGCACATGAAACATCGAGTTGTGGATAATTTAAATAGCACTAGTGTTATCATAATACATAGGACGAGTAGTAAACAAGGAAATGCCAAGATCAACAAGTAGTCAACGTGACTAAACTATCTTTGCTTTGGTGGAGGTCATAGCATGATATTCAACTTTAACAGAGGATCGAACCACAACAGTTTGTTTCTTATTTTTCTATGAAAGAAGAGAATCACCAAGAAAGAGACAGAAACTAGTAGTGGACTTGCGATCTATAAGAGTCACTAGTCCAGTCCGCATCAGAGTAAGGTCGGAGTTCTAGAGATGATGAGAAAGAAAATAATACACTCTGATACAACGTACCCTGCAGATATCCAAGAATCCGAAGAACGACGGACCACTGAAGTGTGGTACGAGTAGCAACAAATTGACTAATCACATGAATTGCATAAGCGATATTTGGACGAAAAACAGTAAGATATACCTGACTCCCAACAATAATACGATATATGGTAGGATCAAGTAGAGAGAACCATCAGAGGAAGTATAACGAACGTTGTCTCTAAGGGTGGGCTATGGGGAGAGAGCTATGATTTCGTTCTCTTATTCCCACTAGGATAGACTAGTTAATCAATCATCGAGTTGGAGATATCAATACAAAATTTATTACTGGAGAGGTACTAAGTTGGACTAATTTGGAAACATTGGGCAATTTACTTTATACCTACTATTTTGTCTAGTTTTTGGTTCCTAGTTTTATTGTGTCAAGCGTTCGATTGTTTGATAAACGAGCTTGTTGAATAGTAATCGGGGCATACTTTGATTGTGAAAAAAGATAACCTTTGGGAGATGAAGTAACCTCAATCCCTAAAAAATATCGAAGTGGACATCTTTCATCTCAAAATAATTCTGTAATTGAGTTTTCAGTAGCCGAATTTTAGTATTGTCATCACTTGTAATAATCATGTCATTCGCATAAAGTAATTTGAAGAATGAAATAGGAAGAAGTGGATCGGAGGAAGAAGCAGAATCATGATCACTAGCATAGAAGCCTAAGTAACATATGACTGAAGACAATTTTGCAAACTATGCCCTTGGGGCTTGTTTAAGGCTGTAGAAAGCCTTGTGAAGTTTGCACACATGACTACGACTATGAAGGAACCTAGGAGGAGGAGTCATAAAGACCTTTTCAGATAAATTACCATAAAGAAAAGTATTTTTCACATCTATGTAAGAGAAGCTCAATTGACAAATATCTGCCATAGTAATTACTGTGTCGATCATGGTCATCTTAGCAACTTGAGCAAAAGTCTCATCGTAGTCATACCCATGCTTTTGAGCAAATTCCTTGGTCACTAATCAAGTCTTATACCTTTCCACAGAATCATCAGATTGAGTTTTGATTTTGTAAATCCATTTACAACCAATTGTGCGTTTACCAGGAAGTAAAGACACCAACTCCTAAGGTCGAGTCGTATGTAAATCAGAAAGCTCCTCATTCATAGCTTGTTGCTAAAGAGGATTAAGTATAGTTTCCTTAGAAGAAGTTTGTTCAGACAGAGTGTCTAGAAGTTAGGAAAGAACAAAAATCAGAAGAATAACAAGAGTTGAAAAAATCAAACTTATTAGGACATTTCTAAGTGCACTGAGGGTAGCGAGGAGTGTGATACACAGTGTCAGAATTTGATTAGGGGACATAAATGTGAATGAAGGCACAACATTTGTGGAGGAGACAGTACGAGTCTTGCGATAAAGGAGATAGTAAGAGTTTTGCGAATATAAGTATGCACAATTAGGGACTGGTAATAGACATATTAGGCAAAGAAGAAGAAGAGGGGGCAAATCAGACACAATTATATCACCAACATATGTATAAGGGGAAACATCAGATGGAAAAGGATCAAGATATATGAGATTAGACTTATGCATAGACGAAGAACCAGATGGAATAGAGGAAAAATGAATATGCTCCATAAAGACAACATGGCGTCAAATGTAAAGTTTTTGTGTATTAGGATCATAACAACGATATTCCTTTTGTCTCTCATCGTATCAAAGAAAAAAAAAACATAAGGCTGAGCGAGCAGAGATTTTGGGATTAGCAACAGGTAGCCAAACAAAACATGTATATTCAAACACACGGAAAGAGAAATAATCAGGTGATTTACCATATAATTTTTCAAATGGTGAGACACTAGAATTGGAGATTGTGGGAATGCAATTAATTAGATGAACTATTAAAAGGATTGTTTCATCCCAAAAAGAGCTAGCAACACTGGCTGACAAATCTCTCTCTTCTATAAACCTCATACTTCACTACTACATCTTTATCGGAGGCCATCAAAGCTCTAGGTTTACCTTCATACAACAAAAAGGACTCCAGAGTCCAGACACATCGGATCCTTTCTTTCCCCCTCTTATTCCTCTTAGTTAGGATTTGATAGAAGAGATGCTTCGTTGCCAAACAAAGGAGAGTGATAACCCTGAGCCCTTATGTGAAAAAAGGCTCGTAACTTCTTCAAGCAATAGAGATTCGGGTTGATGAGTGTATCCCACTTTATTACCTGATACAGATCAAGATCCTTTAAGCATCTCATTTCAAAGAAGGCCCAACTAAGGCCTATTTAACATCACTAGTTTGGCCTTTAAAATAGACAGGCCCAATAGGTCTGATATCTTGTTGACCCAAGCTCAATTCTTGAATTCCATTTATATTTTTGCCAATAGAGACATTAGTTCCGTCATTATCTTCATAAACCTCTCAATTTTCACTAATAGGGCCGTTTTTAATTTTTGAATTTTGCCCCAAAAATTCAAGATTAGACTTAATGTTGCAGCATTAGTGGCTACACAATCACTATAGTCACTTAGCCCAACCCTTTTTTCCTCCTACCTTCGTTCCCTCATTGCCACGTGGCCTCTTAACACCCTCATCGTCGTCTCCAACCTTAGGAGGGTGTGCCGAATGTGCATAATTTAAACATCATACAGTGTAGCTATGCGAGTTCTTGTTACAGTTCATCCAAATATTCAAGAGCAAACTTTAGGTAGGAAGAAAAATGAGAGCGATACATACGAAAACTGAAAGACGTGATGTTGCATCAGTATTACAAATAGACAGGACAAAACATCACGAAATTTACTATCTTTTCATGAATTTAGAATAGAAAGGAAACAATTCATCATAGAACTTTAGAGGGAGGATTTTTTAGGATTACGGAAAGAAGTCCTTTTACTAGTTTTTTTTTATTGACATTAGTTTGGGTGATGTAGAGTGGTTGCATAGAACTATCTATGCAAAGCGGAATAGATCTAATTGTTTCTTCAGGAAATTCAGAGGATATTCTGATGTAGATCGTAATAGCTTTAATACTTAATTTAGATTAAGAAGAAGATAATGAGGATGATAATAGGAGAACAAATGGATGAGAAAGGGAAGAAGGGNATATTCTGATGTAGATCGTAATAGCTTTAATACTTAATTTAGATTAAGAAGAAGATAATGAGGATGATAATAGGAGAACAAATGGATGAGAAACAGTAGAATGAGAAGAAAAGGGATGAGAAAGAAAGAAAGGGATTTGGGCCAACAATAACCTTAGTAATATTCAGTAATTCAAGTCTCCCTCAAACAAGCACCTTATCCCCTATATAGCACCTTATTAGATGTGGCTTGATCATCACTTCCTCGCTTAGAATTTTAAAGATTGGTTGTCTCAAGGATTTTCCCTTTTTTCACACAATTTAAAATATGGTATTCGTAATTAGGAGAAAATCCGTTTTTGGGAAGATGTTTGGTGGGAGAGTCTACTTTTGCATCCATATTTCCTCGTTTATGTCTGTTGTCGTGGCCTCAACTAATCCATTGCTAGTATGGTATCCTTGCCTTCCTCCATCATGAATTGGAAGTTCAATTTCTTTAGAAACTGGTGTGATAGGGAAGTGGATGAATTGTCCTCTCTTTTGGGTATTCTTGTTGTCCTCTCTTTTGAGTATTCTTGATAACATTGTCTTGAGACAAAATTCTTTAGATAGAAGAGTTTGGACTCTTTTGTCTTTGGGTGAGTATCCTTGCATTGGATTCTTTGATTGATAAACCCTCTTTTTCAGTCTTTGAATTGAACCTTCTTGCTGACCAAAAAAAAAAAAGAAAAGTACCTTCTTCTTTTGTGTGGAAGAGTAAGATACCGATGAAGGTACATGTTTTTGCATGATGATTGCACACAAGAAACTAAACACTATTGAGTTGCTCCAAAAAAGAAGGCCATCACTTTCTCTTCAACCACAATGGTGCATCCTTTGTCAGAAAATTTGGGAGTGCTTGGATCATTTGCTCTTTCATTGTGCTTTGTTTCGAATTTCTGGAATTGTCTCAAAATAATAGCATTGGGATGCTAATAACTATTAATAGTCACTTTTTTCTTTCTCCACCCATAGTAATATAACCTACTTTGAACTAATTGGTAAACTATGATAAGTTGTCTTTTTAATAGATGTGTCATGCATGCTGACAAGCCTTTTTTTGCGTTCTAATATTATTAGAATGCACTCTCAGTTATGCAGTGATGTTCTTTATTTCTTGATAGGAAGTGATGCATATCTTTAACCCATTTAGTTCTTTGATACCTCTGACGTTGTTTAGTGATCTTGAAGCATTTAGTAAAGTAGCAGGTAGTAGTTGTAGGAGCTGTATGGTTAATAAGTGTTGCTTATCAGGGATGAGAGTGTCATGAATTGCATGTTTGTGTACCTTTCAGTTAGTTGTTTGAGATTAAGTGTCATGTTATTATAAGGAGTAAACATATGGTTTTAGGTGAAAATTAGTATATGCAGAGTTTGGGTGGTGTATTTGATATAGTTTCTCTTATCTACTGAAGTAAAAACCATTTACCGTACTATAAGTTTGATAGAGTGTTGATTCAGATATTGGCGTGAGAAATTGGTAAACAATTGATGTCCAAACAGCGAAATGGGAGAAACAAATTAGGGCTACTTGTTGGTTCTTCTTGATCAGGATAACTTTCAATTGTGCTGGAATTGCGTTGCATGATAAGTAGGTCATGGGTTTGCACTTTGAACTATGCAAGAAGAGTTGTCTATCAAGGTGTTTAGTAGAGATAGGAGTTTAGGTAAGGAAAGAGTTTGCTTAATTCCATTCTTCTTCATCGGGGCTCAGTTGAGTCATCGACTGTCACTGCAACAATGTTGTTTCAGAGGTGATTGGACTAATATTGTCCACTCAGGACTAGGGGTGTTAATCGAGTTGAATTCAAGCCTAAATCGAGCTGAAATTACACATAAACGAGCTTTAAAAAATATTCAAGCTTGGCTTGATTAACAGCCCTACTCAGGACTCTCTTATTTGTAGTATTACCTTTTTTACCTTTCATTTTGGCACATCCGATTTGAAGTCTGTAACAATGGCATGAAAGCTTAGCACACATTAACAGTTATCTCGCCCATGACCACCTCATCCTACTATTGTAAATTCCATCACAAATGGGCCCTGTCATTGGCTATTTTTTCGGTGAGTATTTTTCTCCTATTTCATATTACCAGATCACCATGGACATCATCGACGACCTCTATAACTGCATCTAGCTGAATCTTGAACCCAATCTCCCCTCTTCAAAGCACTTACCCTTTGATCTGCCTTAACACGGAGAATCCACATTGACGGTGACAAGCGAGGACTAGTTTTTTCATTCTTGGTGATGAATTTATTTACCTGGGATTAGGGTGGATTTCTTGTGTCTTATTGTAAAGTACTTAGTTCATCCTTTATCAAGAGCATAGATGCATGCTCCACAAAGATGTCCCAACCAAATTGCTACTAGTATTCTTGATGCACAAGCCGCTTTAAAAGTTTGAGCACTCTGATGATGAATTGTAGTCAAGGTTTGATCAGAAATAAGCTGGCAATGGTTGAGAACTGGTTAAAGGGGGTTTCAGGAAAGAATTAGAGCTATAAATGTGCTTTATTGTTTTGACGCTTGATTTAAGTAAAAAGGCAACAATATTGTGATCTAAGAAGCATGGACACTTCTAACAAGGTGGCAAGTCCATGTCGGACGTTTCAGCCAGACACTTCTTGAACAATCTCTGATGCTTGTCTGACTCTCTTTTTTGTGTCCATAATTAAAAAAATAAAATTTTGTTGCTATATTTCTTTGTGAGCATTAGACGACACTTCTTAGGTTATGTCCCTTCTTGAATACATGCTAACTGTGATTGACAAAACTTAATATGACCATCTTAGATTACTAAAAAATGGTAATTGTTATAATTTAGTATATTAATGTTTTACTTGAAATTTACTGAAAATGCTGTAGACACACAAATTTCATTTAGAAAAAGTCATGGGAGGATGAGGAATTTTTTTTAATCATGCATGCTTGCTAAAATTGTCTATAGAAACCAGGGAGTGATTATTTTCTACTATGATTGAATAGTCCAAAATATTTAGACTAGAATGCTAGATATATGATACATATGTAATAATGTTTTGGTTTTATATTTGTATTATCATATCTGTGTATATAGCAATAATCCACATAATGGATTACATAAAACAATTTTTCGTAACACTTGCTAGCCATGTCCATTTTCTGCTTTTATACTATTCTTCCATCTAAATGTGTTTTGTCATTCCCGATCCTTATCCCATGCCTTTGTTTGTGCTTAATAGATTCTAATATTAGGAAGGACTTTGATGACATGTACAATAAGAAATTCCTGAAAGCAAATCAGGGAGATGGGAAACAGAGAGAATAAAATCACCCTCTTTCAAGAACAAAGCCTTAAGGCTTAACTCCCACGTTTATTATTGCCAACTCCAAAAAAGATGGTTACAAGCTCTTTATATATGTTAATATCCTTTGCCTGTAGCATCCCAAGCCCTATATTTGTCCAGGCAATCAATATATACACTGGATTTTGAAATGAAAGTAATAGTTAGGGAGATTAGGGGCGTTATGCTTCAAAGAAGGTGGGATAATTGCACATGCAATGCATGTGACAATTTCTGAGTGCTAATTAAATGGGGCTATGGGACTTTTTGATGTTGGAACCACTTTGCACCTCTTAGCTGTAGACAGTGAGCACGTGAAGGCATATGGGCGATGTACAAGTGTCGGAGACTTTTGACATCTAGCCAAGTAAAAACGGGGAGCGCAGAAGTTAAAATTGCTACAAGAGCATCAAAATGATCTCAAGTATGCTATACGCTTCATTATTTATAATTCTTATACCCATTTTGAGAAACTCTTGGCTCTTCTATTTTCTTGTTGGGAGGTTTGACAAGCTTTTGATAGCGGATTGCCTTGTAGCAGGGTTTATAACAATTGATTGTTCAAATCTTTGGTGCCTGTTCTTATACTGGACAGGAGCATATCATAACATCCTGCACTCTTTTGAGCTTGTAATTGCCTGATTGGGCTTTTTCCCTTCAATATGGGCATGATGGAGGTCTGATTCCTTTTCTTGGTATCTCTTAAGAGAATGATGAATGGTATTGATATGGATCTACATGGAAGGATTGAAATTTGAGTTTGGATTTGTAATTGAAGGCATTGTGATGTCATTGGATCGATTTGGAGTGAATTATGAGCAATTACCACACTATAACTGGGGAGGACTCTAATTTTCGCTTGAAAACAAAATAGCTTTCTATTCCCTGTTTATCCATATTCATATTTATGCAGACATCATTATAGAAATGCTACTCTAGTGTGTGCTTTGTATTATTGTGTAGTTATTGCATTAAATTATGAATCCATTAAATTGTTTTCTACGTATTCCTTTTGATTTTTGATATATGTTGTTATTGATTCACTTTTCATTGGTAGGTGAAACGACTTCTGAATGAAGGAATGGATGTAAACGTGGCTGCATGGGGCCCCAAATCACATGCGGTGACCCCTCTCCATCTTGCTGCTAAGGGTGGCCATCTGAAAGTTATGGATAAATTGCTTGAGCATGGTGCTGACATTGATGCCCGAACTAAGGGTGCCTGTGGATGTTAGTTTGTTTCTCTCATGAAAGACACTTTTTCCTCACTCCTTGATTTACTATCTTGGCATCTGGTTTCATCTATATCTCATATTGATTTTGGAATCCAGGGACCCCACTTCATAATGCCGCTAAAGAAAGAAACAGGAAAGCAATGAAGTTCCTGATAGAAAATGGGGCATTCTTGCCAGATGACATTAATGACACTAGGTTCAATCCTCCACTCCATTATTGCCCTGGTCTTGAATGGGCTTATGAGGAGATGAGGCGTCTTCAACATGATAACTCATCGTCAGGTGAGGCCTCTTACAGCTCTGAAAGCTGAGGGCATCTCACTGTTTTACTTCTGTGTCTTATTTCATGACAAATGAATCTTAAATTGGACATTGGATTGTCTTTGTATCATCTCATGTGATTTCTGTGTGTTGATGTTACTGGACCATAAATGTTGCGTGAATGAGTATCTTTCATATTATGGATATCTTGATACTACTGCAACATATTGGTGCTTCCATTAATATGGTGGCTGTGGGTTAAAATCTGTTACAATCTTATGGAGACACTCACGCACACTTCTGTGTTTTGATGGTACTGGACCTTAAATGTAGTGTCTGAATGATCATCTTTCACATGATGGATACCTTTATATTACTGCAACATATTTGTGTTGTGATTACTATGGTGTCCGTGGGTTAATCTCTCTCTCTCTCTCACACACACACACAACTCAGGTCAATTGAGCCGACCTAATTGAGTGTGCCCTAACTAATGAGGTCAAGGGTCCATATCATTGTGTTTTATGAAGAAGTATGGTTTCTGTTAAACCATAAATTATTATATTATATTCTATCAACTCATTGAAAGTTTTAGTGGACATGATTGAATCTTTATCCTAGCATTATACATATCGTATTACTTCTCCTTACTATTGCAGAAATATGTCTATTACAAACATATCTAAACCATTGATTTTATTACCTTTTAATTTATCTTCTACTTTTATTGCCCTTTCTATTGTTTTACAATTAAGTATATTTGTATTGATTTGTTCTTTTGATTTGTCATATATCTATCTTGATTTTCTCATTTTTGCCACNATTTATCTTCTACTTTTATTGCCCTTTCTATTGTTTTACAATTAAGTATATTTGTACTGATTTGTTCTTTTGATTTGTCATATATCTATCTTGATTTTCTCATTTTTGCCACATATAGTGTTCAAGCTGTGTTATTTCTCAAGCATCCAATACTTTTCTATTCAAGGTGGTGTTGGTGTATTGTTTGTTTTTTTGAACTCACCTTTTACGGCGCCAAGTGCATTCCTTCACTTAGTATATTCTATTTTTTTTTTTTTTGTTTTTTTAATGAATATGTGTCTAGTTGGACATCCTTTTAGGATTTATGGTAGTTGCTTTGTTTTTTCCTTCTTAGTGCATAGTTATGCATGTTTTTTCTGTTTTTATGTTATTAAGAAAAACCAAAAACATTGGCAAAAGAAAAAACAAAAAAAATTTGTCTTGTTTGTACGAATTATACAGAGTCTCTAGGAAAACTTTGGGGTCTTTCATTCCAGGGACACTATGCCCTGTGTGCTTTTCTGGAAAACTTGCACTAGGCATTCACAACATTGTGTAGACAACTACCATCATTTGGCACTCCTTATCGATCCTCCCGAGATTTATAGGTACCCCATCCGTAAAACTTGGAGCGTTAGTTACTGAAAAAATGAATACCAGACATCTGCAATATTATACTGGCAACTACCGTCCTCTGGTATCACTCGCCAATTTTTCCTACATCAATATTGTGCACCCATGATTCCAGACCAAGCCAAAACCATATTCCTATAATAATACAACATTAACAGATTCAAAATCATCCAGTGAGAGTACTTAGTTGTAGAAAATGGTTTTCATAATCCGTAGCATTATTTAATCAACTTCATATACATACTAAGGCACAACCTTATCTGTAAATAATGGTATAGTGATTTGTAGTACAAATAGCAATACCAGAATCGAAGAAACCATTCTATGTACGAAATCATGTTCGGATCACAAAACCCAGCTATTTCTCGAGTCAATAATGCAACGAAGATAAATAAGTTTCGGATAGAGAACATAAGTTTAGCATGAGATCTCAAAATAAATATGATATGCATAATTGATAAGGAATCAAAAAAGAAATCCTATCTCATATCAGTTGACTTCCAAATGACAAGAAATACTATGTTCCTAAATCTCGTTTCCGAAATATCCCTGCTAGTTTCCTGATTTCTCTCCCTCTATTCTATCTTTTAAGTGTAATGTGTTGAGGTGCTTAAGGTTCTAAAGACACGACGTAGTGGAAATGAAGGGTTATTTATACTCCCACCATAATCCTAATGCGGTGGAAGACACCAAGTGGACAAACCGACTTGAGTCGATCGGCTGAAGCTCAAGCCGGTCGATCGGGTTGCAATACGAACGACCGACGGTAAGAAGCTGGCCAACCGGAAAAGCTCTCTGGAATGAGTTGTCTCCTGCCTTCCCAATCTAGGTTTCCTCCCCTTACACTTCCACCCCTGTAGTTCTTCACTACCTCCAAATCTTCTAAAATTCACACATTCCCATCTACACAACATCCCAGTCATATTTACAATACTAATTTACACAAACTCAAGTTCTATTGTATCAAATCTCATTACTAAGAAAATTACACTTTCCTCCCCATAACTTCCCAAACCTTCCTTATNTGAGAGTACTTAGTTGTAGAAAATGGTTTTCATAATCCGTAGCATTATTTAATCAACTTCATATACATACTAAGGCACAACCTTATCTGTAAATAATGGTATAGTGATTTGTAGTACAAATAGCAATACCAGAATCGAAGAAACCATTCTATGTACGAAATCATGTTCGGATCACAAAACCCAGCTATTTCTCGAGTTAATAATGCAACGAACATAAATAAGTTTCGGATAGAGAACATAAGTTTAGCATGAGATCTCAAAATAAATATGATATGCATAATTGATAAGGAATCAAAAAAGAAATCCTATCTCATATCAGTTGACTTCCAAATGACAAGAAATACTATGTTCCTAAATCTCGTTTCCGAAATATCCCTGCTAGTTTCCTGATTTCTCTACCTCTATTCTATCTTTTAAGTGTAATGAGTTGAGGTGCTTAAGGTTCTAAAGACACGACGTAGTGGAAATGAAGGGTTATTTATACTCCCACCATAATCCTAATGCGGTGGAAGACACCAAGTGGACAAACCGACTTGAGTCGATCGGCTGAAGCTCAAGCCGGTCGATCGGGTTGCAATACGAACGACCGACGGTAAGAAGCTGGCCAACCGGAAAAGCTCTCTGGAATGAGTTGTCTCCTGCCTTCCCAATCTAGGTTTCCTCCCCTTACACTTCCACCCCTGTAGTTCTTCACTACCTCCAAATCTTCTAAAATTCACACATTCCCATCTACACAACATCCCAGTCATATTTACAATACTAATTTACACAAACTCAAGTTCTATTGTATCAAATCTCATTACTAAGAAAATTACACTTTCCTCCCCATAACTTCCCAAACCTTCCTTATAACACCTATGACATACCTTTACCTTATTATCATTAATTGACACTCCATTAAACTAAATAAATAATAAAAAAAATCCATAGGAATTTATTATCCACCCCTCCTTAAAGAAAGTTTCATCCTCAAAATTGATTACTAAATTTTAGATTCGACTATATAGGGCTAACGTGTATGCATATCAGCTTCAGCTTCCCAAGTAGCTTCTTCGACTCCATGATGTTGCTAGAATAGCTTTACTAACGGTATAGTCTCCCATTGTAGCACTTTCTCCTTGGTATCCAATATTTTTTACTAGTTTTTCTTTGTACGTGATTCTATCTTGGATCATCACCTCCACATAGTTAATGATGTGAGTACCGTTCGACTCGCACTTTCACAAGTTGTTTCCTCCTCACCCCTTTGTCCAGTCTCCTAGAATATCATTAGGTGTGTGCCAAAAGGTGTTAGTTTGGTGACAAGATTATCATTCCTAAGAGGGGTGGAAGATGGTTTAGGTTCAACCTTATCAACTAATAAAGCATCAACACCCTTATCTTCTTCCTTCTCTTCCACAAGGTCTTCTCCTAAGTCATCAATGACTACATTAATGGGTNATAAATAAGTTTCGGATAGAGAACATAAGTTTAGCATGAGATCTCAAAATAAATATGATATGCATAATTGATAAGGAATCAAAAAAGAAATCCTATCTCATATCAGTTGACTTCCAAATGACAAGAAATACTATGTTCCTAAATCTCGTTTCCGAAATATCCCTGCTAGTTTCCTGATTTCTCTACCTCTATTCTATCTTTTAAGTGTAATGAGTTGAGGTGCTTAAGGTTCTAAAGACACGACGTAGTGGAAATGAAGGGTTATTTATACTCCCACCATAATCCTAATGCGGTGGAAGACACCAAGTGGACAAACCGACTTGAGTCGATCGGCTGAAGCTCAAGCCGGTCGATCGGGTTGCAATACGAACGACCGACGGTAAGAAGCTGGCCAACCGGAAAAGCTCTCTGGAATGAGTTGTCTCCTGCCTTCCCAATCTAGGTTTCCTCCCCTTACACTTCCACCCCTGTAGTTCTTCACTACCTCCAAATCTTCTAAAATTCACACATTCCCATCTACACAACATCCCAGTCATATTTACAATACTAATTTACACAAACTCAAGTTCTATTGTATCAAATCTCATTACTAAGAAAATTACACTTTCCTCCCCATAACTTCCCAAACCTTCCTTATAACACCTATGACATACCTTTACCTTATTATCATTAATTGACACTCCATTAAACTAAATAAATAATAAAAAAAATCCATAGGAATTTATAATCCACCCCTCCTTAAAGAAAGTTTCATCCTCAAAATTGATTACTAAATTTTAGATTCGACTATACAGGGCTAACGTGTATGCATATCAGCTTCAGCTTCCCAAGTAGCTTCTTCGACTCCATGATGTTGCTAGAATAGCTTTACTAACGGTATAGTCTCCCATTGTAGCACTTTCTCCTTGGTATCCAATATTTTTTACTAGTTTTTCTTTGTACGTGATTCTATCTTGGATCATCACCTCCACATAGTTAATGATGTGAGTACCGTTCGACTCGCACTTTCACAAGTTGTTTCCTCCTCACCCCTTTGTCCAGTCTCCTAGAATATCATTAGGTGTGTGCCAAAAGGTGTTAGTTTGGTGACAAGATTATCATTCCTAAGAGGGGTGGAAGATGGTTTAGGTTCAACCTTATCAACTAATAAA